CGGGTTGCATCAGCCCCGGCTATATAGCGGCCCCTGGGCGGCGGGGAGGGGTCGGGAATGCGGAACCGTTCGAGCTGCCAGCTCCCGACGTCAGAGGGGGACGGAGAGGAAGGGAAGGAGGGGACAGGGAGGAGGGGTGTGGATCCGGCGCGCTCACACCCACTGACCTTCACCTCCCCCGCCGCCTTTCGCGCCCTCCTCCCGCGGCTCCTCGCGCCCCGCGCCCCGCAGGGGCAGCTCGGACCCCGAGGCGCCGGCGCGGGCTCCATCGCGCGCCCGGGTTCTCCCACCCGGCGGCTCAGCGGCGCGCGAGAAAGCAGGACGCGGCGAGCGGTTATGTAAGCGCATCCCCCGCGCGCACCACCGCGCGGCTTCCACTCGCGAGACAGAAGCCGCCGCTCTGGGAGAGAGAAACGGGCAGGCGCGGCGGCCGGAGTCCGCAGCCCCTGGAAGCCTGCGTAAACCGGTGGTGAACCATCCTCCTCGGTCCTGCGCGCTTTTCCCGGAACCGAGCGAGGTTTCCAGCAATTTCGTCCATGGACGCTCCACGACTGAGTGAGGAGTGATCATTTGTCGCGGAGAAGGATGGGGCAGAGGGTTAAGACATTTGGGTGCCTCCACTCCCACCCATTAACCCACCCTGCCACCTTGCGCCCTTAAGCCCTAGGTCCCCGGGAGGGGCCTGAGCTCGCCTGGGGCTGCTGCCTGAGCGCTCCAGTGTCTCGGCTCGCACAGTTCCCACCCTGGGCTCCTTACCCAATCCGGCCGCCTCGTCCTTTCACTGGTGGGCACGCCTGTGAGCAGACCCAGCTCTCCAGCTGACCCCACATGGCCTTCCTCCCCATGCCAATGCCCATTGCCAGGCCTGCGCCCACCTCTGCCCTGCTAGAGCAGTAGAGGCTGAGAGGGAACTAGGACATGGGCCCCCACCAGGCCCTCCTGTAGGTAAAGACAGAATCCTCAGAGAGAGGTGTGGCACCTGACACCATGCCTACCCGGGCCCCCCAGGGCTCAGCCAGCCCCCTACCTTTCTGCCTGAGCCAGCTAGAAGTGACAGTGTTTATATTTAGTGACCTTCAGCCTCCTTCTCAGAGTGATGTCAGGTCATCACACAGAGAAGAAAGGAAGTGAAAGAAAAAGTTGGTGCCTTCTTGGAGTGCATCAGAGCGAAAGGAACTGTAAGGCTTGAGACAGATGGGAGCCCAAGAAGCATCTACTCTTCATGAGAAACCAGTGAGGTTTTATTCTCCTTATGTCCTCAGTGCAGTGACACGTCTCTAGATAAGAGGATTTGTCGAGAACTTACAGGAGGAAAAGACGGATCAAATCCCAGTGACCTTGCCTGACCATTTCCACCTGCATGCTAGCTACCTGCCCCTCAAAACAAAGAAGTGAAAAAAGAAAGTAAAGTCCTAAAAGAACAGACAGTGGAAAATGAGTTGTCATTTGATAGTGTTGTGGAAGGACATGACTAGCTATACATTTACTGCAGTGTAAAGATCAAAGCTAGTTTCTGAGAAACTGCCTCATGATGGTCCCCGTGAGACTGAGCTTTGCAAGTTTATATGGAAGAAAACACTGAATGGGGGCAAGCTCACTTTCTGTGTTTTCATCTGGGACTTCCAAAACACTAAACTTATCTCTGTGTAGGGACTAATATTTAGTGTGCGAGCTTAGCACATGCTTCTCCAGGTCTGCTTTGGGTGTAGCTGGACCACCAGCAGTTTTACAGGGTCTCTTGCTTCCCCCCTTAAACTAAATACCTTATAGTGGAGGTCCCCCAAAATAATTTGAAGGTGCCTACGTCTTAACATAATATACATTAGGCCCCTTCCACTGATAAGGATATGTTCCAATTTTATACAGAATACTGTACAAACACAGCTCCAGAAATTGATTATTAAGACTGTCCCGTTCTTGCAAACTATGTAGAAGTGATCAGTGATTTTGAGGACCTTAGAGGGAGCCTATGATTTCATAAAGACTTCAAAATTCAAAAATCTAGGCCCTCCCCGGTGGTGCAATGGGTTACGACGCAAAACTGCAAGCTGGCTGCAGCCACTTCAGTGCGAGTTCGATCCCCACCCCAGAGGTGACCCACATGGCGCAGCAGACCTCCCCTGACCCTCCCACTGCTCCCCTCAGCAGTGTACTTCGTCAGTATGCCTGTTCTGCTCCCCACTCTGTCTCTGGTGAATCCTCGCACCCCCCTGCACCTCTGACTTGTACCCCAGTTCTGTATGAACAAATAAATCTTTTTTTAAAAAATAAATCAACAATCTAAAGCTTTCCCCCCTCTGAATCATTCTGTTATTTCTGAACAGAGGGGTAACAAACTTTGCCAGAGTCGCTCAAAACACTGCTGCTTAGACAAGAGCTTTGTTGATGTTTATGCCTCATGGAATAAAAAGCCTCATTCCAGGAGGCTCTTCCTTGGAGCCTCCACTAAAACTACTTTTGAACTTCCATTTTTCCAACTTTGAACTTCAACTTTTAATATGGGCCAAGTCAGGTGAGACTTGCTATAACTGATGGAGTGTCAATGAAAATACCACTCAGATTTAAAGCTTAATTGTACACTCTTGTGTCATTCCCTGTGTATCTGTCTTATTTTGATAGCAAGGGTCAGTGACACATGCCATAGGAAAGAGTCTTAAGACTGAGCAGCAGAGTCCCTGGGTTCAGGCCCTGTGACCTCGGTCACTGGATGTCCCCCTTCCTCCCACCAGCTGATGCACCTAAAACACAGGGTTATTGTGAGGGCTAGTGAGATAAAGTTAACATAGGACAGGGTAAAAAATGTTGTTAAAGATTTGTCTATACATACAGAACTAGAGTACAGGCCAGAGGTGCAGGGGATGAGAGGATTCACCAGAGACATAGTGGGGAGCAGAACAGGCAGATCGACGAAGTACACTGCTGAAGGGAGCAGTGGGTGAGACAGGAGAGGTCTGCCACGCCATGTGGGTCACCTCCAGGGCAGGGATCGAACTCAGCACTGACGGGCTATGCCTCGCTTGCAGTGCTGTGCTGTAACCCCTTGCACCACCAGGGAGAGCCCTGAGTAAAATTAAAAGATGCTCATTATTGTCATTTTTATTGTCCACAGGACCTACACTACACGTCGTTACATGCGTATTTGTTGAATGCCATCTAAAGAATAAAACCAAAATGGAAATAAAATTACCTGGACTCTTAGCTCTGCAAAGCCATCTCTCTTTCAACCCTCTGGGCTGCCGTCTCTTACCATAAATCCTCCTCCTTCTGGACTCACACCTCTGACTCCTCAGAGAGCTCCTCAGGGAACTCCAGCTCCATCAGACTCTTAGAAGGATTGCTGTGCCACTGTTAGGGAAAAAAGAGCATTCCATGGGAAGGTGCAACTCCTGCGGTCTACTCAGCAAGCTCAGCCGCACACTTCCTTGCCCCCAGGTTGGCTCCAGGTCACCTTCAGAGCTCCCCAGGTATTTGGGGCGTGATGCTTCTATGGGCCTTAGAGTTATCAGTCGCCGCTTGGCTGGCGTCCTGTGCAGAGAGCACAGTGGCAGCTTGCCCATCCATCTTCCCCTGGACCATGTGGCCACCGGGCATCCATGCACATGGCCTGTAGCTGCCTGGAGCTGCTCTCACTCCTGCTGTTCACACCCAGCCCCTGAGTGATCCCCCAAGCCATGTTTGTCGCCAGGCTCCTAGCTCTCAGGAACCTAGGATCTCCTTATTCCTTTAAATGCAGGGAGCCTGGGGGTTATTTCATATACCATGATCACCAGCCTGCTGTTTTTTATGGGAGAGGACTTATGGAAGCTGCAACAGCAGATATTAGTTTGATATTAATATTTGCAGATATTAATACCCAGTCACTAGACTGGCTGAACTCTGTCTACAAAGCAGGACACAGCAACAGATTCTTGACATAAAACCCAGGAACCTCCTAGTTGTCCTGTGTGACTGATGGCAGAGGTAGTCTGAGGTCATAGGTTCTTTGCATGGAGGGGCTGTTGCTCACAGCAGCTGGTTTCCTTGGGGCTCTTCCACTGCTGCTGGTGTTGTAGGTGAAGAGGGAGGTCCCAGGGTTGTGCTGGGGGCTGGGTTGGATCTGGTAGTCCTCACCCTAAGTTGGCTTGGAGACAGACTGACAGACCCTGAAATTCTATTCCTGGCCTTTGGCCCTAACTCCTCAGCCTCAATAAACCCAGAGTGGGGAGAAGGGTTCACCTGACACAGACAGCTTCTTTTCAGAGCTCTTCAGCTGAAACTGGCAGTCTGGGGCTGTCGGGGTCAGCAGAAGGGGAGGAAATCACCCAGGTGGCACGGCCTCCACCTTGTATTTCTTGGAACTTAATATAAGATAAGTTGCCCTAACCTCATCAAACTTCCTCTCTGCCACAGAACTGTGTATTTGGTCTCGTTTGGATCCCATCTTTATCATCATGTCTGTCACTTGGGGGTCCTTGGCATGGGGTGACTCAGGAAAAAAGGCTCATGAGTTCTTTTTCATGTTTACCCATGGATGGCCTAGATTTCTTCTAACTTCCCCCTATTTCACTGGTTAAGGGTCATTGGTTTTTCAACAGATTTTTGTATTCAAGTGATGAGAAGAGGATGTGGGGCCATCTGCTCAGTCCACTCTTTCTCAGCTTTGAGGTCTTCTCCCTCTATGGTGTTCAGGACAACCCCCCACTCCAGCATCTGCTGTGGGGCCACTATACCCTTGATGTAAGAGGAGTTCTCCATCAGCATAAAGAAGCTGCCAAAATAGGCACTCAGTTTGGCGTTGTTACACTTAGATCTCAGTCTAGGAGCTTTCTATTCTGTGAGGATCAGTGAGGAAGTTCTCTAGTTTCAGGTCCCGATGTACTATCCCTTTTTGCTGACAGTAACTCACAGCTGATAGCATTTGTTCAAACTAGCTGCAGGCCTCTCTCTGTGAGACAACTGTGGTCCCCAAAGTGTAAGTCTCCGCCTCTCACATCCTCCATGATGAGTAGCAAAGCTTCCTCTGTGTCAGTCACCTGAAGAACCACACCATGTGCGAGTGGCTCTTGAAGCTGTGGACTTCTCAGACAGAGGCAAGCTTACCAGAGCTCTGTATCTTCTTGATAATCTTTATGGCCACCTCTGTCCAGGTTAGGACGTGCCAAGGCCAGCTGTACCTTAGTAAAGGCTTCCTCACCAAGGGTCCTGA